TCATGATGCATCACCATACGACCATCTCTCACTTGTGCACCATACGAACCCTCTCGCGCTGTCAGGCTAATTGATTCCGGCATCTCATCCCCGTCCGCCGCAACCCTAGGTCTTTGCGCCAATCGCCTGCCGCGGTCGACTCGAAAGCTTCTCTCCCTTCGTCTTTTACACGCCCGCTTCTACCGCCTGCGCAAGAAGCCAAGCACAATCGAGCCACCAATAACCACACCTTGGACGCCGTGTCGACGCCTTGTCGAGTCGGATTGACGACTCCCCCCCCCCTCTCTTCTGACTGGCTTCGAGCCTACATCACACTCGAATCTTTCGTCTCCACCTGGGCGCACCCTCGATTGAAACCGCCGACTGAACTCACCCTGCCAGCTACCACGCCTACCCTCGAGGGAGATCTGACAAGATGTGTTTCGGGAGCAGAGAGAAGGACAACAGCGGTGCAGCGCGCACAAGGGAGCTCGACCGTGTTATTCGGCAAGACGAGAAGCGCATGGCGAAGGAAGTCAAGCTGCTCCTTCTTGGTACGTCGAGCCTATTCTCGTTCGACGAGGGTCGCGAGCGCCGCCACAACCACATGCGCTAACCACCGAGTGTCACTTAGGTGCCGGAGAGTCTGGCAAATCGACCGTGCTGAAGCAGATGAAGTTGATCTACGCGCAAGGCTTCAGTAAGAATGAGAAGCTCGAGTGGAAGCCCGTCGTATTCAACAACGTTGTCCAGTCCTTCCGTCTGATCTTTGAGGCGATGAAGGAGATTGACGTCAGCTTCGAGAACCCCGAGAATGAGGTACGATGAGCGCGTCGGAACGTCTGCCAACACAGTACAATGACTGACACGGTACGCGCAGAAACACATGGAGCTCTTGTTGGTAGACAACGAGATCAATGCGTCGGACCCTCTCCCCCAAGAGTATCTTGCCCCCATCAAGTCCCTCTGGGTCGACACGGGCGTCAGGCAAGCCATCGAAAAGGGCAACGAGTTTGCGCTGCATGACAACTTGGCCTAGTATGTCCCGTCTTCTATCTGTGGTGTGGGTGTCCTCCTGACTTGGTGTGGTAGCTTCTGCGATGATGTGGACAGACTCTGGAGCGAAACCTACGTCCCAACAGATCAAGACCTGCTCCGATCGCGACTCCGAACGACCGGTATAACCGAGACGGTCTTCGATCTCGGGCAATTGACATATCGCATGTTTGACGTCGGAGGCCAGCGATCAGAGCGGAAGAAGTGGATCCACTGCTTCGAGAACGTCAACTGCCTCCTGTTCCTGGTGGCCATCAGTGGCTACGACCAATGTCTTGTTGAGGATCGAGACGGAGTAAGTATTGCTTGCGGGCGTACAACAAGGGCAATCACTAACGCCGGCCACAGAACCAGATGAACGAAGCGCTCATGCTGTGGGAGTCGATCGCCAACTCGCACTGGTTCACAAAGTCGGCATTGATTCTGTTCCTCAACAAGATGGACCTGTTCAAGGAGAAGATCGCGAGAAGCCCCATCACAGCCCATGGCTTCACAGACTACCACGGTCCCGCCGACGACTGGAAGTCGGCTAGCAAGTACTTCCTCGACAAGTTCCGCGCCCTCAACCGGAACATGGAAAAGGAGATTTACGGACACCTGACGAATGCAACGGACACGAACTTGCTCAAGATCACGATGGGCTCCGTCCAGGATATGATCATACAGCGAAACCTGAAGCAGCTGATACTATAAGGCAGATTCGCGTACGATCAGCGCTGCATCTTCAGCCAGGACAGACGCGTTCGGCCTCCGCCTCGATTGCACTTCGGCGGGGCGTCGCGGGGTCCAGCTGCCGACACCACGCTGCGTGGCTCTTTCGGGCCCAGGCAAACTGAGACATGGCGGTGCCAACAACGCGTGGCAAACTCAATGTCTCGGCAGGCGAGCTCATGGGGCCATCGGCCTGCAACCACGACGGCATGTACATTCGTTCGCTTCTTGTGTGTATCCTTCCCTGGATGGCCGCCATACCCGAGAGAAGTCGAACGTTGGGTGGGGAGCGGGTGGCGCAGCTTTTCGGAGGGCTCGGCAAACGAATTGGATGCGAGAGGTACACGAGGCGTTTTGCATCGGCCAGGGCAGCCACGGGCATATTGATAAGAGGACAACAACGAGCCCTCTGGTTTACGAAAAGGAGAGGAGATGACGAGTGGTACCGGAGCTCGACAGGGTGCAATCTTTTACCTCGAACCGGGAAGGATTGAGTTTGATTCTGCGCATGCAGCGATTTGATACCTCACATACTTGGCTTGTTCAGCTATGCTTTTTTTTCATTAATTCGAAGAGCAAGAGACGGAGGATGAAGATGTTATTAGGGATGATTTTGTCTTTGGATGAGAAGAGAAGAACGACGGGACGATGACGCGGTACCTGGGCATCTGAAGATGAACAGTTCCCCCCCCCCCTCACTTTCTTCCCCCTCCCTCTCTCTCTCTGTCTCTCTCTGATTTTTTTTATACCCGTCACTGCTTCATCGTCCCATATTTTTCGCTCACTTATTTTTAAAGCTGCAACGGTGCAGCGGGAGAGTGTGGCTAGGATCTAGGCAGATAGAAAGACGTAAGGGAGCACATGGTCCAGGCGGTACGATGCAGCCAGTGTGGTGGTGGTGCATGCTCTTGATCTGTGCTGGTGCCGCTCGTTGCCGTCCCAGAGATGGGTATTTACAGGGTTCAGCGCGGAAGGTTCATGATGTCAGGGTATTGACTCTGGTGGTCTGACAATTGGCGGCGGCAGAGGCGGGTAGGGTCATATATGTACATGGATGCTGGGGGTTCCCAGCCAATGTCGCCATGTTTCCATGAGCCGCCATTTTGCCTTTGTTGACCTGAGTCATTCAATCGTCTGCTCCACGTGTAAAGGGGAGGATGACAGATCACTCGATGTTATCTCCGAGACTTCTTTCCTTGTCTTGGTAGGGGTTATTGGGTCAGATCCAATCCATGGCGAAAAGACGGAGAGGCAAACCTGTCATTCAAGAAAGCTCGTGTCACCCAAACACAAGAATGGGCACGAGGCTGGGCCCCACGCCCGTGGAACCACCCACTGACGCGCGGGGCGCAGGAGACGGGATCTGGCATTGTGGCTGCGGCGATCGCGCGGGTCGGGAAGGGAAAGGGAAGGGAAGGAACCCGAAGATCTGCCGCTGCGGGGACGCGTTTCGGGGAGGGGAGGGGGGGGGATTTCGTAGATTCCCGCATCCCGGTGAGCTTCTTGTGTCTCGGTGAGCCGCGGGCTATGGGCTCGGCTATCTTAGGTAAGCACTCCCGCCTGATTGCTTGAGCAACGGGCAAGTGCAGCCCAAGTCAACAAACGACGTCAGTTTGGTCCCAGGACCAACTGCATCATGAGCTCTCCTCTTGCCAAAGCTAATCTCATCACACAGTACCGTTGAGCTTGATGATCTTCTTTTTGCTTTGAATCCCCAGAAGACTTGTTTCATTCTGCAATTGGCTCCTGTGCTTCTCTGTACATTTATTTACCTGTCCACTCACGAACTGATCTATCTGTCTGGCCTGCTGATGACCGACCGAATCCCCCACCCTGAGCATCATCGTACATTCCTCGATCTCAGAGCTGTCCCACACACACCACACCACCCATCCTGTCAGAGCACACCGTGACCTATTCAGGTGCACGGAAACCCGCAGACATGTCGGAAGCGCAGCGGTCCTTCCGCGACTACTACAAGGAAGATGACGTCCACGTCCGCGAACAGAAACCCTCCCTCTTCGAGCGGCTGCGCAATCGCTTCCCGTTCCTCGGCACAAAACGAGGCATAGCTGTCGTCGTCGCCGTCGTGCTGCTCATCATTGGCGGCGGCCTCGCCGGTTTGGCTGCCTTGCCGCGGGGCAACGGCGGTCGTGGTGGCAGCGATGCCGACGGCCTCATTAAGGACGATGCATACTTTTATGGACAGTCGCCGGCTGTGTACCCCTCTCGTTAGTCTTACAAAATCGAAGGAGCGTGGCATGCGCATCATGGGAGGTGAGGTGGCTGACGTGTGAGCAGCTGAGATGGAGGTCTCTGGATCCAGCAGCAGCAGCAGCGATGCGTTCACGAGGGCGAAAAAGTTGGTTGGGCGCATGACGCTTGAGGAAAAGGTACCCTCCGTTTTGCCAAAACCGTAGTTATGCAGGGACACTGTGTTAACAGTTTGAAATCCAGGTCAGCTTGACCGGTGGTGTTCCGTCGAAGAATGGATGTGCCGGCACCCTGCCCGCCGTCGAGAGACTGGGGTTTCCAGGTCTCTGTCTCCACGACGCTGGCCAGGGCCTGCGTGCCACCGATTTTGTGAATGCGTATCCGGCCGGAATCCATGCGGGAGCAAGGTGAGGAACTACCTCTGGTCTTCTGCAATTCTGTCAGCCACAGACACGAGACTAAGACGCCCAACTAGCTGGAACCGAAACCTGACCCTCCACCGGGCCCGCGCCATGGGCGGTGAGTTCAGGAAAAAGGGCGTCAACGTCCTCCTCGGGCCCTCGGTCGGCCCCGTGGGGCGCGTCGTGCGCGGCGGCCGAAATTGGGAGAGCTTCTCTGTCGATCCGTACCTCGCCGGCGCCCTGACAAGCGAGACAATCCGTGGTGTTCAGGGCGCTGGTGTCATCACGAGCACAAAGGTGAGGCTGTCCTCATGACGTAGATTCCTCTTGTCAAATCGTCTGCTGACCTGTATGGCTACCTTTCAGCACTTCATCGCCAATGAGCAGGAGACGCACCGTATGCAGAAAATGCCCCGTGAAGCCGTTTCGTCCAACGTTGACGACAGGACCATGCACGAACTCTACCTTTGGTAAGAACCGAACCCCATGTCGTTTCCTGGTCCATGGAGCACACCAACTCACCTCGCAAGGCCTTTCTATGACGCCGTCAAGGCGGGCACAGGCAACGTCATGTGCTCGTATCAGCGCATCAACAATTCCTACGGCTGCCAGAACAGCAAGTCCCTGAACGGTCTACTCAAGACCGAACTCGGCTTCCAGGGCTGGGTCGTTTCCGATTGGGACGCCCAGCATGCTGGTACAGCAGCCGCCCTCGCCGGCATGGACGTAGCGATGCCGGTGCCGCGCGACTTTTGGGGCGACCACCTAGTCGAGGCTGTGAGGAACGGCTCGGTGTCAGAAGCGCGTGTGACGGACATGGTCGTGAGGGTTCTCGCGTCCTGGTACCGCATGGGACAAGACGAGGATTTCCCGGCCCCCGGCGTGGGCATGCCCAAGGATATGAGGGAGCCACATCGCATTGTTGATGCTCGCAACTCGTCGAGCAGGCAAGTCCTGCTCGACGGGGCTGTGGAGGGCCATGTTCTCGTTAAAAATGTCAACCGCACATTGCCTCTCAGAGAGCCTCGTCTGTTATCCGTCTTTGGATACTCTGCTAGAGCAGCAGACGAACAGACCGGCCAGGGAGGCGGCTTCCCAGATTCGCTGACGTTTGGTGCGCAGCCCATCTCTTGGCAGGAGGTGGAGGCCGGCTTTACCATGAACGAAGACTTCGACTGGTCCGGTATTGGCTTCAACGGAACCCTCATCTCGGGCGGTGGTTCTGGCGCACCGGCCGCCTCCACCCTCGTCTCCCCCATGGACTCCCTCAAGGCCCAAGCCAACAAGGACGGCACCGCTCTCCAGTGGGACTTCACCCGTGGCGACCCATCCGTACACCCGGCCTCTGACGCCTGTCTGGTCCTCGGCAACGCCTGGGCCAGCGAGTCCTACGATCGTCCGGACCTGTATGACAATTACACCGACGGCCTCATCCTTCACGTCGCCCAGCGCTGCGCCAGCACCATTGTCGTTCTCCACAACGCCGGCCCTCGCCTCGTGGATCAGTGGATTGACCATGCCAACATCACCGCCGTCCTCTTCGCCCACCTCCCAGGCCAGGCCAGCGGTACGGCTCTGACAGCTCTCCTCTACGGCCGCGCCAACCCCTCGGGCAAGCTCCCCTATACGGTGGCCCGCAACGAATCTGACTACGGCGCAGTTGTCAGCCCAGATCTCCCCGACGCCCGCCACAAGAACTTCCCACAGAGCAACTTCACTGAGGGCGTCTACATAGACTACCGCCACTTTGACAGGGAGGAGCGCAAGCCCCGGTTTCCCTTTGGCTTCGGCCTCAGCTATACAACCTTTGCCTACGGTAACCTAACTGTGGCATCAGTCCGTAACGCCTCCACACGCGCCTTTGCGCCGGCCAGACGCGCGACCCGGAGGGTGGGCCCCTCGGCGCTGTGGGGCATTTTTCGCCCGGGGTATCCGCCGGAACGTGACCAACACGGGCTCCGTCGACGGGCGCCGAGGTCGCGCAGCTGTACGTGGGCATTCCCAGCGGGCCGGTGCGGCAGCTGCGCGGCTTTGAGAAGCCGGTGCTCGCGGCAGGCTCCGCGGCGCGCGTCGAGTTCGCCCTGACGAGGAGAGATCTGAGCATATGGGACGTCGAGGCACAGGGCTGGCGGCTTCAGGACGGAACGTACGGGGTGTGGGTTGGGGGAAACAGTCGCGACCTGCCGCTGAGGGGGAACCTGACTGTCGTGAACTGAGCAGCTGGCACGGCAAGTGCGTTTGTGGCCCGTGATGTGTTTCTTCCCGGGGTTCGTGCTATGCGCTTGATGCGGCTGTATGGGTGATTTGGGGGTATAGATATCACTGGCGTTGGGCGCGAATATGGGTTTTGGTCCATGATGTTATCGGAGAAGGACTCAATGTTGCCGGGCATGAAAAGAGAATACCGGCATCATGATGCATGACGAGAAGTGTATCTCTACTGTTGGCGCCGCCAACATCTCGCAAGACTTGACGGCGATGTATCCACAGTGTTGTCGCTATGCCTGGACCGCCGTGGAAAAGCCATCGTGGAAAGCTGGTTCCTCGCCAGGAGCTCCTGTCACAGGCCGAAGCAGCGCCGAAAGAAGTAATGTCGCGACCTGTCAGAAGGAGACACAAAGATACACGAAGCTGGGAGGTTGGCAGGGTCGGATTTTGCCTCCATAGGGGAGAGAACAAGAGGCTCGACTGTTCACCGGCTCGCAGCAGACTGCTGCTCCTTGTGCTTGCAAGGACAGATCCCACGGCCTAGATCATCAAAATCTCGCATCAATGTCTCGTCACACTACCTACCTTATGCCCGCCAACCCTCTAGATTCACCCCTCACAAAGGAAGCCTGGCGCAAGAGAAAACAATGCGCCTGATCAGACATTGAGCGTCCCATGCCGAGCCATCAGCAGAAATCCAAGGGGCGAAAAGCCTTCGTGACGTGTAATGTTACCGCTGCCTCGGACGAGCACTCTCAAAAGGGTTAAATGCCGGCGAATCTTCTCACATCTCAACTCTTCGATACGCCTGCCACCGACCAAGCCGACGTCACATCAGGCCATCAGCAGCCCCAAGACATAAGCGTATGGAGCTCCCCATAGGACTGAATGTCAAAGGGTTCAACGGGCTTGACGTCACGGAGTCGAAGACGTGGAAGAACGATTTGGAACGCCCAACCCGTGCGGTGTTGGCGATCAACGCGCCTTGCAGTCAGGTACATGGTGCTCACTTCGATATGCAACGAACGTCTCTGGCTGCCCACCCGGTAGCCGTCCAAGTCCACAGCTGTTGACAGGCAAAGGATCGAGCTGTTGTGCATTCTTTAGTCTCGCGACACCCCTCTTCAACCCTTGTTGGTTTCATCACAACGGAAGAACCCTTAATCCAACAGCGAACACTCCATCTCGGCGCAACTGGGGCACGTCTATGAAGAGGGAAAGGGGGATAACAGGTGAATCGTCTCCTGATGCACCCAGTGAGGCCCCAGCCCCCCCCCTCCTGTGTCCTCTCGCTGGGGCACCGCCCGCAGGCGGTTGATGGTCAGACAGTGGCGGCGCGGACGGGGCCGAGTGCGCGTGATAAGTGACCACATCAAGTAGCGCAGGGTGGTGCATGGGGCAAAGTATAGTGATGGCTGGTCACATCCATCCAGGGCAGGTACTCAGGCGTTTGGTGCGACTGGCCTCCTCCCCTGCCATGATGGCAAGGGCATTTCCCTGTCAATCGAGACGAATTTCATTCTCCCCAAGGCCCAAGCAATGCGACGATCACCAGTACCGTGAGCAGCACGGTTCGCTTCTCGCCAACCGGGGTCGACCCAGGGCAATAACGCCCATCTGACGATCCTTGGAGCGTCGCTAGAAGCGACAATTTTTTTAAGAAATGCCTGTCATCGACAGCCCATAAGCTGCATGTGCTGGTAGGACAGCTGCTGAACCTTAGTTCTGCGTTGCCTGGTGGCTAGCAATACTATAGCAGACGACCCTTGAAGCGGCACTTGCGGTGTGTGCATTGGGGCGGGGTGGGCCCAAGCGAAACGAGCAAAAGGGGAAAGTAAACATTGTTGGAAAGGGTCCAACCTAACGAGGCCAGTGGAGGCAGCCAGGTTTTTTCCCTCTCGATAGATGTACGTATAGAGGCTTGTTCAATAGTGCGGGTCGCTCATTTGCTCTCCGAGTTCGCGATAAAAGGCAGTGTTTACAGTAGAGAAATTGAAGGAGGGGTTGTATCGACAAGCCAGCCAATGCAACCAAAATTGACTTGGTCCCAATCGCTAGTTGAAGCCCATCTTCCCTCCGATTCGAGGTAGGCAGAAAGTCTTCGCGAAGCCCCAAGTCGGTCCCCATCTTGAATCATGACACGTTGACAAGGTTTCGACAGGCGGCTCGCTTCGTGTTCTTTGTTTGGGGGGTGGCTTGCATGGAAGAACGGAGTACGCACCCCGATCAATGTCGCATGGCATGCCATCGTGTCGTGCCCGGATGTGCTAAGGGGCGAA